GCCCTCCGGAACTCACACCAGCCCGGGAGCGCACCCCGGGTTCCCACCCGCGCCTCTACCTCCATACCTCCTGGCAAGCAGGGGAAGGAGGCTCCGGCCTCAGCCAGCTCAGAGAGGGGCTCCTAGGGTGCCTGGCGGGCTGAAGGGCTCCTCAAGCGCCGCCACAGTGGAAGCCGGGACCGGAGGACAAGGAGGCGCTGAGAGTGAGGGCTGCTAACACATTGTCACCTCTCAATAGTTAGGCTTGACAGATTAAATTAGCAATTACTGTGTGACTTCTCATCAAAGAGCAGATGTGAGTTACAGCATCATGTATGATGGTGAACAGAGAAGCAGACCTGAACCAGAGCTTCCACCCAACCCCGACAAACGTGTCTCCCCACGGTGTGACTCAGCCCATTGTCTCTGGAAAAACTGGTAGAAAAGTGAGTGCGATCATCAAATCAACTACAAGAAAATCGAACAAAGAATTCTGAAGAGTAGAACTGAGATTACAATAGAAATGTATTCAAGAATGTGGAAAACAATTATGTCCAGCTTTTTATAACGAAGTAATACCAGTTTTACTTGGCCATATGTGGTTGAAGGAGAGGGGCTGTGGGCATCTCTATCCTCCCCTTGAATAGCAAGATACCAGTAACTGCTCAATAGAAGAACTAGTGGTCTTTTCAGAAACATCACTGTTGGGATTAAAAAGTATGCTAGTGGATAGGAAATAATATTACCACAATAATTTCAAGATGACTTGAAAAGGCAAATGTTGAAAGCTAAATTTCATATTCATTTGAATATGAATTGGTATTTACATAATGTGGAGTGAGGCAGAGCCTGCACGGAGCTGGACACCATAAGGGAAAGGACTATACATTAACTACATAAAATTTCACATCTCAATTTTCCAAACAAAATTTTATCCTGTTTAGTAAACAACACTTAAACACAATTTTAACATTATAAATATATGTATACATACACATGTATAAATGTGTTATTTATGCAGAAAGAAAATATTAGTTAAAACAGAGCAACAGTAAAACATGTGTTTTTGTAAGTAAGTGATTAAGAAGGGAGGGTAATGTGTTTCTTTTTTCAAACATATTCACTAGCCTGGGCGTGGTGGCTCACACCTATAGTCCCAGCACTTTGGGTAGCAGGAGTGCTTGAGTCCAGAAGTTTGAGACCGGCTTGGGCAACATCCTGAGACCCTATCTCTACAAAAAAATTTTAAAAATAGC